TTATTACAATGTTTTGTAAAACTGAGAATTTTCCCTCTTCAGATACTATCAGTGATTACAATAATTTTTTTAAATGGCCAGAAAAAAATACAAAAGCAAGAACAATTTAATATTAGTAACCAATAAAACTTTTAAGCAAACCATAATGAGAAATACTTGCCACAAAATGTTTTTAATTTATCAGAAATCAAAATTTCTACTAGAGTGTGTGTTGCTTACCATTTTAAAATTAATTTAAATGAGAATATTCATTCAAAACTAATATAGTTTTGAATAACACTCAATTGTAACTGCCTGTAAAGGCTGCTCCACACATTCGGCATTTGCAAAGACTGGCACTAGTGCTTGCCCAATCCCGAACAGCTGATGTGTTCATGATGTTAGTGTCCTTTGATGTGTCCAAAAGACACAGCGGTGGGTAAGACTAACACCGAATGTTTGTCACTCGGCAAATAGCAAGCAGCTCATCCATACTACTCTGGATTCTGCAATTGATTTGATTTGAGTTATTTAGTCAAAAAAATAGTATAAACTGTGTGATGTATGGGGAAGAAAATAAACCACGCATGTTTTCAGAATCCCTTCCCAACATTTCAACTATAAATAGTTGAAATATGAATAACAGTGTAATAAATAAATAAATAAATAAATAATAAAAAAATACATGAGATTAGCAACATATGTAGAAACTAGACATTTTGTTCCCGATTTCGGTTGCTCGCTGTTCACCATATAATAATTGTGTGGAGCCACAGTAAGAGTCTACTGTATCAAACCTAGTTTCAGTGTAGCCCGAATTCCTCCAATAGGTCTTCTGACTACTGAAAATGATTATTAATATAAAAATAATTACGTATGTTACACATTATTTTAACTAAAATAATTAAATTTACTGCACATAATACAGATTTTTCAACGTAAAAGAGATTCAAAAACCTTTAAAAAATAAAATAATTTCTTTCAATAAACATTTCTTTCACTGAGACAATGAATTCACAGAAATGAACAAGAAAGCCAATTCACTACTTTTGTTCAATTTATTTAGACAATAATTTATACAGATTATTGATGCAATGGTAATAAGAAACAGTTTAAATTGCTTAAGATAGGTGTATTAAATAAATTGAACCACAAAGAGCTGATGGAGATAATGATGATCAGGATAATAAAGATGATCATGATGATAATAACAAAGTGTCATACTTGATCACTGAGTAAAGAGGTGAGATGAGAACGTGCTTTTATTCTCTTTCCTGGCCATGGGATCACAGCAATAAAAAAATAATGAAAGATCATAAAAAGAAGTGTCTGAAATACACAAAATAATATATAAGAATACTTTCAAATATATGACATGTGTCCTTAGGTACGAAAATAGATTCAATTAACTACAATTTCTAATAACTAAGGGTTGGATTTTGATGACTTAAAACATTGTCAAAAATGATAATTTAAGTGCACATAAAATGCTTTAAAAATGCCCTAAAAACAAAGAAAAATGACGTACAAAATTTGATCAAAACCACTTCAGATGAACAACTTAATATGTTGGTTATGTTACTGGTGTAATCGAGGCTTCTTCCTTTTGTGCAAGTGAACTCAGCTTGCAAAATTTTGGTGAATCTCTGGCTTTATTTATTATGAAATCAATGTCTCCAATAGGGATCACAGACTTATGAGTACATAGTACTCACGCCGACTGACATTACAACATACGAGTGAAGAAATTGAATTGGCTACTCAGGAATTCTGTGGTGATCATTTGTTGCACCTCATAAATATTGTGGTGAACGTTTGTTGCAAGTACCATTAAAATATCAATATTGATTAAATCAGCAAAAAATGCATTAAAAATTGTGTAAACAGGTAAAAATGACTTATTAGTTGAAACCGACAAAAAATGCAAAAAATGACATATAAAACTGTCATTTCATTTTGTCTTAACATAAAATAAATTTCTATACTAAATGGCGTTATTCTAAAGTGAAGAAAACTAATATTTCATTAAAATCCACCCCCTACTTATAACTCAATACGACTAAAAAATGGAATGTATCAAAGCTCAGTCCCTGTTAAGGACTATCTATTTCTTGTATTTCATCTTCCTCTGCACTATCTTGTATGACAATTAATACTCATGAAGCTTAGGTAAAATTGTTTATTTCTTTGTTCCAATAATCCAAAATTTTTCTTGTATAAGATACTGTTTCCATTTGTTGGATGTTGCCCAAAAAAGTTTAATATTGGCTTATAACTGTGAATATCAAACAGTAACAAGTAAAAGAACTAGCAAACGAAAAATATTTTAGGCAATACGGTACATTTAAAATAACTCGCCTACCTACAATTTGCAGCATCAAATCTGACTTGTTAGATGCATTTTATCCTCTTCTGCTTCTTCTATAAACTAATAGAAAATAAATATAATATAATAATAATAATATATTTATTGAGCCACATATACAATTACAATCGTGTATGATGAGTCAATATGATGTCTTGGGTGGAGAGAACGAAGTTACATTACTGTTCAGGAGCGAGTGGCCATCTCAGCATTTGCTCATGGGACCAGGGAAACTAAACAAAACCTGATCAAGATGAGGTCATTGACCTAGAAATTATACTACAATACTTGTTACAGATATATTAGGATATTATACAGTAGATAATTATTTTTAGTAGCAGATTTCAAGACGTTATTTTAATGCTACTACTTATTATAATAATAATATAATAATAATAATAATAATAATAATAATAATAATAATAGTATTATTATTATTATTATTATTATTATTATTATTATTAAAACAATACATAACAATTCTGTTAGAAATACATAAAATTTAAAAATATTATTACATTCTATATTTAAAAAGGTGAGGAGGAGGAGGGGGCGGCGGTGGCGGCGGCAAGTTTTGACCAGTTTTTTTCTTTTAACTTCTTTCAATTTGTACATATAGTCCTATTGCAGCAGCTAATGCGTCTAGCAAATCCAGAGAGAAACAGATTCTGTTTTGTAAAGTAGGAAAGCTTTCAATTTACTTTTAAATGTATGATTTGTGTTAATGTCTTTAATATCGTTGCCTAGTTTGTTGTAAAGTGTAATGCCCTCTATTAGGCTACTTTTTTGAAAGTGTAGTTTCAGAGTGGGGAACATGTAGGTTATCCTTTTGACGGGTGTTGTAGTTGTGTACATCGGAATTTAATGTAAAAGTTTTTTTTCCATGAGAATTTTCTTTGTGAAGACCACTATTTCAAATACACACATTCATGGTAGAGGCAGAATCCTTAGTTTCTTGAACAAGGGTTTGCAAGACTCCAACTTATGAGTGGTTTTCATTGTTCACAGTGTTCTTTTTTGGATAATAAATGTGCGAGTGCTTTCAGGGTCATTTCCCCGAATATCTTTCCATATTTTAGGTGTGAGTGCACATTTGCTAAATACATTGTTGGAAGTGTTTCAATGTTGGACCTTGACCTGAGGGTGTATAGGGCAATGCAAAATTTGGTGAGCTTCTTGTTAAGAGTTTTGATGTAAGCATTCCATTTTAGGTTTTCTTGAATTGTTAGACAGAGGAAGTTTATGTCATGTTAAGTCATTTTTATTAAGTCATGATATATCGTTACAGGTTTATTGTTTATGAGCAAATGCTGTGAGAGTTTTTCTTTAGATCAGGGATTCATGAAATTTAGAGACTGTCTTGCTGGTGTTTATGATGAGTTTGTTGTCATGAAACCATTTTACTAGTACTTGCAAAGTTTTGTGAGTTTCTTTTTTTAATGATTGTGTTTTTGCTTTGATTGTTTGTGTCTTCTGCAAACAAAATTATTTTGTTATTCCTTTAACCCAAAGGCATGTCAATTATTGCTTTTTGGAACGAACTTTATGGGGTGGTAATCTTGTAACATTGTAAATTTGTACTGTGAGAGTTTATGAACTTGGCTGTAGCTATTTACAAAATTAGCACAAAATTCTAGTAACTATTTAATAGTCAACTATGATTAAAAATTAACTACTAATTAAATACAATAACTACTAATTAAATAGCTTCAAATAAGTGTAGATTTTTTAAAATCTTCATATTAAAATTAATCATTAAAAGCTGATGCAAATACGACAATATAATAATCACACTAATTAGTAATTATATAAGTGTTAATACTATTAAAGTTCCTAATTAAATAGTAACTGAACTTAGCAAATCTCTTTAATAATTCAAAGGTTAATATAAACGTCACAAGATAATTCTACTAATCACTAACTGTATTCTACAAGAAATAACTAATAACAATTATCTAAATAACTCTGAAAAGAACCAATAACATCAACTGTTTAAATAACTAAGAGCTGATACACAAATATTACAGAACAAATTCAAGCCAAAATCACATGAATTTAAATAACTCAAAGGTCACAAAATTTGCGTTTCAGAAAATTATATTGATGTAGATGTTGGTACTAACAATGCCTGCGAGAGTCATTCATTTTTTGCTGACAACTTATCTAGAGTGAATGAATATTATCATATTTGTCGACGTGACAGTAAAATATTTCTCATTTCCAGCCGTTCTTCTTATTGTGTGTTCATTCAAATAAGTGTGTACATTTTTGGGAAACACTACTAAAGTTTTCTGTGCGGTGGACCATTCGTGAATAGCAAAAGTAACAAACATATTATAATAATTTAAGTAATTTAAACATATTATAATAATATTACAAGTATATTATCACTTCCTTTAGGTCAGAATTAGTGACTATTGTGTGTATTATATTCATCTGCTTGCTAATCAGATAGTCTTGTGTCATAATAATAATTGGTGGAAATTTTCAAGAGTTTAATCTGTTATATCTGTTATGGTGCCTGCACAATATTTCCTATAGTTTTATCAGTTCCAAAGCAGTAGAGGTATTAAGAATGATTTCGAAGCAGTTGCTTTTATATAATTTGTCAGCGTATCTGGATAAAAATGAAACAAATTATGTGAAACTGTTGCAGGTGCTGTTGGGACCAGCATCTGCTGTATCAGGTGGAGGAGGACTGGGGATGGTTCCACAGCGATAAGATTAATTTTAAGTGATTGTTAGATTAGAAATTTTTCTTGGCAAAACCTGTAAGAAATTTTGCTTTGAGTGGCATGTAAAGAAAGTAAATAGTATATGAAATATGTATAACAGTTCAGAATAAAACTTGACTGTGTTGTACAGTGAATTCTTACTGGATGTATAGAATGAAATGTGTTCCTTCATGCATAATAGTAACTGTTGTGTATAATACCTATTTAGCATTCGTCCACCAAACTTGATTTGAATGTTTTGAGTTTTAGGTAAATAATATCTTTTTAATTCTAACCTTTGGTGTTCTCAATTTCACATTATCTCCCAGATCTATGCCCTTTCCTTTATTTAAAATAAAATGCTTGAATTGATATTCTCATGCAATTTGTGAAATACACATGAGATTGGTGCAGATTTCAAAAGGTTTGCAGTTCCCTGCACTTTTCTGAAGTTGCATTTTTAAACATTGTACATTGCTGCATATGGAAAAAAGGATATGAATGGCAAATCTCATTCAACAGAAATAAATGCACAAGTCACATTTAGTGGAAATAATGAAGATACTCTTATGAAATTAAATATTAACATGCTGCATAGGATTGTCTTAATCTGAAATCTTCAAAAAGTTTTCTTTGTTGCTTTTTTAAATAAATTAAGAGATTTGTGAAATAACTTTCTGAACTTGCTAATAAGTGGAAAATTAGATTGTCTAAGAAGTTATCTTTTTAGTTATTACAAACACATGATTAAGTAGTACATGATTTGTCACTAAAACAATTGTCGGGATAGGTTCTTTTCATCTGTACTTTCCTCTGAATTTTTTTGTATTTAGTAGGAATATGATCACCTATGATCGTAAAATGGATTACAAATATTTGTTTAAATTTTCCAATTATTTATTTCTGCCTGTAAAATTTACAATCTTTTATTGGTTTAAGAAGCCTTGCTTCATCCCAAAACTTGTAAAAAGTATGTTTAAGAGAATAAATGTATACTTATGTACTCTACATTCAATATAATAAATGTCTATATTTCGTGGCTGCCAAAGTTTAGAATTATCCACACTTTACTGAAAAATTTGCTAGAATGGTTTTATGTGGAGTCATTTTTTTCTGTTTGAACTGTTTAACCCAGTGACTTTATAGTAGTATAATATAGAAAGTAGTCATATTTTGAAACTTATGGAGAATTAGAGAAGCAGAAGACCAAACTGGTGAAGCGTGAGAGGGTGACGAGCAAATTAGATTTTGTTAATTAATATCGAGCAATTTCAATGATTTTGCATATTTTTAGCAAAATCAATTAGCTTAAAGGCATAGCTAAATGAAATTTCTTGACTTTAGAGTAGGATGCTGTGTAGAATAATATATTAGTGCATATGCTGGATTTTTCTGTTAGTGCACATTTGTGTAATAATTATGATTTTAAAACTTAAATTTCAGTTTTTATTTGGCAAATTGCGATAACATGGACATTTCTCTCTAAAACACTTCAACTTTTAGTAGAATATCTTAATTTGTGATCGTCATATCATAATTATGTGTTTTACTTGTATACAGAATTAGAGATAGCAGTGCTGAAATTTATATTTTTCGAAATTTGGCACGTAAGGGGGGGGGGGTCGTTTGTATGTACTTTGAACAATTGAGGTTCCTTTTGTTTCTCGTCTATCTCGGAAAATATTCGTCTGATTGGAGTTTACTTTGACCAATCAATTTCTTTTAATGTGTTTTACTTGTATACAGAAATAGAGATAGCAGTGATGAAATTAATATTTTTCGAAATTTTTCACGTAAGAAGGGGTCGTTTTGTACTTGGCACAAATGTGGTTGGTTTTGTTTTTCGTCTATCTCGGAAAGTATTCGTCTGATTGGAGTTTGCTTTGAACCTATCAATTTCTTTTAATGTGTTTCACTTGTGTACGGAATTAGAGATAGGAGTGCAGAAATAAACATTTTTCGAAATTTCGCACATATGGGAGGGTCGTTTTGTACTTTGCACAATTGAGTTTGGTTTGGTTTTTCGTCTATTCCGGAAAGTATTCGTCTGATTGGAGTTTGCTTTAGGCCAATCAATTTCTTTTAATGTGTTTTACTTGTATAGTTAATTAGAGATAGCAGTGTTGAAATTAATATTTTTCAAAATTTGGCACGTAAGGGTTTTGTACAATGCACAATTGAGGTGTGTTTGGTTTTGTGTCTATCTCGGAAACTATTGGTCTGATTGGAGTTTGCTTTGCACGAATCAATTTTATTTAATGTGTTTTACTTGTAAACAGAATTAGAGATAGCAGTGGTGAAATTAATATTTTTCGAAATTTGGCACGTAACGGGGGGTCGTTTGTACTATGCACAATTGAGATTGGTTTTGTTTTTCGTCTATCTTAAAAAGTATTCGTCTGATTGGAGTTTGCTTTGCACCAATCAATTTTTTTAATGTGTTTTACTTGTATACTGAATTAGAGATAGCAGTACTGAAATTAATATTTTTCGAAATTTGGCACGTAAGGGGGGTCGTTTTTTACTTTGCACATTTGAGGTTGGTTTTCTTTTTCGTCTATCTCGGAATCTATTCGTCTGATGGGAGTTTGCTTTACGCCAATCAATTTCTTTTAATGTGTTTTACTTGTATACGGAAATAGAGATTGCAAAGCTGAAATAAATATTTTTCGAAATTTTGCACGTAAGGGGGGGTCGTTTTGTACTTTGCACAATTGCACAATTGAGGTTGTTATTTGTTTTTCGTCTATCTCGGGAACAAAATTCGTCTTTTTGCGAGTTCGCTTTGCACCAATTAATCTTTAATGTGTTTATTGTATAACAGAATTAGAGGATAGCAGTCCTGAAATTTAATATTTTCGAAATTTGCGCACGTAAGGGGAGGTCGCTTTTGTTTACTATGCACAATTGAGGTCGGTTTTTGTTATTCGTCATCTCGGAAAAGTATTCGTTCTGATTGGAGTTTACTTGCCACCAATCCAATTTCTTTTAATGTGTTAACTTGCTATACAAAATTAGAGTAGCAGTGCTGAAATTAAATTTTTTCAAAAATTTGGCACGTAAGGGAGGGTTCGTTTTTGTAACTTTGGCCCCATTGAGGTTCCTTTTGTTTTTCGTCTACTCGGGGAAAACTATTCGGTCTGATTGAAGTTTTACTTTTTGCACCCAATTTTCCAATTTTCCTTTTAAATGTTTGTTTTTAAACTTTGGAAAATACCAATATTTAGGAGTTAGCAGTTTTGGGGGGAAATCCTTCTTTTTCCTTCTTTG